AATTTAATTAGACTAAATATAAATTAAATTAGACTAAATATAAATTTAATTAGATTAAATCCCAACATTAAGAGTAAAATCACAGATCAGAGCCTCAGTTTGGACTTCAGAACCAGGACTGTTTGTTTTGGTTCTGCAGAGCTCGTGTGACGTCACCAAACACGCGCGCGCGCACAGAGAAGTGGCGTGCGAAGCGTCCCGGGCCGCGCCGGTCCCGGTGGTCCCGGGGTGTTACCTTGCAGGGGAAGGGCAGCGCGGAGGCCACCTTCTCCATGGCCAGGTTCCGGATGCTGGGGCTGAGCGGGCCGCGGCAGGTCGGGCAGCAGCTCAGCTTCTGGCGGCACGGGTTGCACACCAGGTGACCCGCCTGGCACTGCAGGATGGGCGGCAGCACGTAGTCGAAGCACACCGGGCACTCGAACAGGGCCGTCAGCTCGGCGGGCTGCCCGGGCAGGGGCAGGCAGGCGGCGGCGGCGGAGACGGACCCGGCTRCGGTGCCGACACCGGCGGCCGCTGCCGCTGCTGCGGCGGCGGCAGAGGTGGCTCCTCCCGGCCCGCCGTGCTTTCCTCCGCCCGCTTTGCCGCCCCCGAGTCCTCCACCTCCGGCTCCGGCGGAGGACGGACGGCTCATAGCTTCCAGCTGCGGTCCGGTTCGTGTGAGCGGCGCGGCGGGCGGTACCGTCATTTACTATTTACAACCGGACGTCCCTCCGGGGCCGCGGGCACACAACATGGCGGCTGCTGGGTTTTAAGTTTGTTTCTGAAGGCGCGCGCTGTGATTGGCTGCTTGAGCTCTGAGTGACAGGTGCGTCAGCCAATCAGAGGCAGGGAGCCTTCTATTACGTAATGTCTGAGGCAAATTATAAACAAAAACATCTTTATTACACGGTTTTATAAAACACTACTGTAGTTAAAAATATATAAAATAACAATATGAAGTTTATCTACTTAATCTACTTTTTCTAATTAAATATTAAACAATTTAAGAACAAGAAATCATAATGTTTGAGGCTAATTATAAACAAAAACATCATTTTTACATAAATACTTTGATTTCCTTATGACAATTCAAAAGTCTTCTAAGACAAAAAKAAAAATCTTGTTTTCAGCTCATGTTTTATTAGCTTATTTGTTTGAGTTCATTTGAGTTTATTTATTTAATTACTTTGTGTAACTTCTTGTGTTTGTAAATTTTCTTTTGGAAATGAGATTCTGGATCTCAATGAGACTACCTGTRTAGATAAAGATAAAATAAAATGTTTATAAAATACTACAGCAGTTAACAAAATATAAAATAACAATAACTAAATATGAAGTTTAACTTATTTAATCTACTGATGAAAGATTAAAAATACAAGAACATGAAATCAATAAGAATTGCACAAAAACAAACATCATCTCTTATTTAAAGCTTTAAATCAGTAACAGCAGCAGTTTTATAATTCTTCTGAAACAAAACTAAAACTGTTCCTCACAACGCAATTTGTTTTTTATTTTTTTTATTAATCTTTGCAAACATTTGAGTGTAGAATATTCTGCAGACTGTGGCGCCTCCTGGTGGACATCTGCTGACAGAACAGCTCACTGTAAACATCTGGCAGAGCTGCAGAGGGATTTGTTTAAAACCAGTTTAATCATTTTCTGACAGACTTGGAGTCAAACTGCAGAGGATGAACTCAAGATGAACTAAAATATGATTTTAGATCAAATCAGGATTAAAATCATCATTTAGTTCAACTAAGATCCTTTTTTTAAACCGATCCTGGTCTGTTACTGAGAGGCTTCGTGTCTGCAGAGAMAAATAAAGTTCAGTTAAAATTAAACACTGGTGTTTGTTGATTTTCATTTGATCTTCATCAGATGATCCGTCAGGTGAAACCTGCTGCAGCCACGTGTCTACAGAGGTAAGGATGACATCACTTCCTGTTTCAGACAGGTGGGATGTCTGCTGCTCCAACAGAACCTGTGAGAAACACAAAGATTTACAAAGAATAAATTCACAGAATCTGTTGAATAAAACAGGAAGTTTTTTATTTCAGGAAATTTATTCAACAAAGAAGAGAAGAACAAACACAATAAATTAGACTAAAGACAAAAGAATCAGATTAAATTCTGTTTAATGAAGGAGATAATTAGTTTGAACTTCCTCACCTTAAATTCCATTTAATCCTTTAATCTTTTCTTCACAACCTCAGGTCACTTTTTAAAGGATTTTATGATTTTCTTTTCCTCTCCGCCCTCAGAGGAAGGGTTGTTTTACTGGTCAGAATAAAAAACAACATTTCAGGTGTTTTCAGGCGCTCTTCATCACAAGTCTTGTTTTCCCTCAGTTCTGACTGTCAGGCTCAGTCCAGTTCTAAATACGACATGTTGGTCCTGATGATGAGCTGATGGGCCCGGCTCGGCCCAGAGGTCGAAGGGTCGAGGGTTTAATCTCTTGCAGCTGAAGTGCCGTCGGGCAGGAAGCTGAACCTTCAACCGCTGATCTTAGAGAACAAAGTGTTTCCTGAAGAGTTAAATGAAATTAGTGAGAGATTTCTGTCCACGTGACACTGACCACCCCTCATACAGCAGAGACCTCCTCCTCCTCTTCCTCCTCTTCATCACTCTGCTCCAGCTTCTCCGAGCAGCTGACGTCTGATCCTACAGCTCCGACCCGTCGGATCAATACCYGATCATCAGGATGAAGATCAGCTACAGCTCACAGTTCCTGCTCCTCTTCATCATCCCAGGTAAAACATCCTGCTCCTCTTCATCAGACGGATCAATAAATCAGATTCTGCTGAGGAGATTTTTTTTATTTAATCTCAGAAACACAAAATTACAAGAGTTCAGTCAAAAGATCAGTTTCCTTTAATCTGGAATTTTTATCTGATTTTATTTTTAAAACTGTTTTTTTGTACAGTAATCTCGGAAAAAACAAGCACATATGTATATATATATACA